TTAAGTTACACCAAGGCTGGCCAAACACTTCATCCAGAAGGAAGACCTAAATATGGCCTATGTCTTCCCTAAAGGCAAATGACAAGGTATGGCCACTGCTGGAAAAATCACTGCTTTCCCTGCAGCAGCTCGCTAAGATGACAACCCTGGAGGAAAGAACTGTGTCACTTCTGTTGTCTATCATCTGTTAAAAACCACATACCTGCAGAGATGATCGCTGAGGTGCTGTAATACGATGGGTATCAGGAGAATCTGAAAGGTGAGGGCAGGCAGGTAGTGGTACAGGAAAAGTGTTTTCTCCATCAGGAAGAAGGGCAGGTAATTCACAGCCCAGCCTCCAACACAGATCCCCCCGGCTGATACCCAGAGCTGCCACGCATCTGCAGGAGACAGGAGATACCTCAAAGCACAGTCCCTGGAAACCTAAAGTCTCCAAGAGGTTGCCTACTGTCATGGTTCGGGGGTTTTGTGGTGTTACCCCCCTCCCCCAGTTTGTGCTAATTAATACAACCTTTAACTTAACCACACGCAACTGAGGGAAATGGTTACGTTTTGTCACACTTTTATGGAGTACCCATCAAGAGAGATCACTGTCAACATGAAGCAGCTTCACAGCACGACAACAAAATGTACTGTTAGAAAGGTCAGCACAAAACTGCCCAGCCACATGGAGGAGCCGGTACCTCGGGTGGAAAGAACATATCTAAAATAAACCCCCTCCCCACACAGCCAGTATCCACCTCTTTTAAATAATCACAAAATGGCTCAGTAAAATCCAAATCTGAGGCCTGGACATGTCTTACATTCAGGGAATGGCTCAAATAAATATTATGCTGGCTACTATATTGTGTCACGAGGTGGTGGTCATATGGCAATAACTATAATCGGTCTCTTCATGGGCTACTCTAGACATCTGTGTGTCCCTAATAAAAATGTCAGGGTTAGCGGGACAGGAAAAAAAGTGCTAGCATAGCCAAGCACATGGTTGCAAAAAATGTGGCTTTGGGGCCATTAACGTGTAGCAAACAAACAAGCGACAGCCCTCCCCACCTCAACACAGACATACACAATGGCATCAGACCTTCAGGAATGTCGTAAATCTTTCTCCTTCGTCGTATCAAGTACCACAGGGAAAGACATGCGTAGACCAGAGCAGCAACGTTAGCTGAAGCCCAGGTGACAACATTCCCAAGGAGGTGGATCTGGGCCTGAAGGACAGAGGTGGGCTAAGCTGGAAGCAGGAACACGCTGCAGCTCTTTTAGGTAGGTTTAACTATTACCTACACATACTTGCTAAATTAAACATCAGAATGTGCCTGGCTATTAACCTGATCTTCCCTAGAACAAAGCTAGTTGAAAAACTTTGCTGCTTTAAGACTCTTTTGTAATGTAATTTAAAAGATGCTCTTGGAAAGGAATTCATCTTCTAAATGGAATCAATAATGGCAAGAACTCTTACACTGCAGTTTTTTCCTTTGCAAAAAAAAAAAAACCAAAAAAAAACCCCAACTACCGTCAAAGCTGTATCACATCTCAAAAAAAAGAACAAACCACAAAACAAACTCCAACTCTCAGGGAAAATATATTCTTAATATAGGAAGAGCCCATCCTGGAGCAGCTCCTCAGCTGGAACTGCCGCCTTGCTCTCACACTCACATCTGAAGTGAAGGCTGATTTCTTCACCAGGCTGACGTTTTCTCCCACCTCTCGTACTTACACCAGAGGTCGGGTGGAGCCAGTAGGCAATATTTGTGTCCATTGTGATCCAGTCAAGAGCAGAGGAGCTGTACTTATGTTCTGCGTCTTCATTTTTTAATGTGAGTATTTTCCACT